GTTGTGTGTGTGTGTGTGTGTGTGTGTGTGTGTGTGTGTGTGCATGCTACAGAACTGGAGAGAGAGTAATTGGAGGCACTCATGTCCTTATTGTTGACATGGAAAGATTACAGGAAAATATTGTGTCATAATTATTTCTCAACACCCCCCTTCATAGATCAGAGTTCACTGGGGTGTCTAATAGGGGGTACTGAGATACATGCCCTGCGGACCAGACCATAAATCAGCTCAGTGCTGGCAGATTTGATGACAAAGATTTAACGGCTGTAAAGGACACCCTGAGCCTCAGATTCTTGCAACTGTCATCAAATACCCGCAAGGCCATTAACAGGTCACGCAGGCGTAGCTGAGCTGAGCCTGAAACATCATCAGCACACAGCACCTGCTGAGGCCCCCCCGCAGCACAGGTGCAATTCCTGGAACAGCAGCAAGGGCACAACAGCCTCATTGCCCCAAAATTTAGTCCCCGGTAAATATTTGTCTCCTTAAAATGAGAAATTGTCAAGCGTTTGCACTATAGACGGTTTGCACGTACAATAAGTCTAGGATTCAGTTTTGGAAAATTGTATGAAAGTCCCTGATAGGCTCTTCTAAACCGCCATTTGTAATTCTAATATGCTGCTCATCTGTTGCATTTTTGCCTCTGAGAGTTGCAGGTCTCTGCCAAACCTTTTTCTTCTGTGCTCCAGGGAACTTTCTCGTCACTGCCCAATATGACCTCACCTGTAGACTCCCCGGTTTATTATGCTCTGTCACGTACAGCACGCCATAACTCCCTTCTGAGCACACTCAACCACGTGGTCATGCCGCTGGCCCTTATGCTAATGCTTGCTTCAATCATATAGGACTCTAAAACCACATAACTGGCCTCTATGCAAATGCTAACTTCTGTGCTCGGGGTTGCAGAAAGAAATGGTAAATAGGTTTATTCCATTTTAGCCAAGACTCACTGTTTGAGAATGCTTCAAACCATCATACTGGACATGGGACACATTTTAAAGTAGTTCTAATAAGCAGCTTTATTCCTTTCACTTTTTTTTTCCAATAACAGCTCATAATTAATGTAGCACACAGTCTTTTGAACCAATTTTGTTTGTACAGTATTATCACATTAAAGTGCGGTGCCCTTTATGTTGGTTTGTTGAGTTAATGTGTGAACTGTAACTGTTTGT